CCCCTGCCGACCCCCGCTGCCTCGGGGCTGGAGCGGCTTCCCCGGGGCAGGAGCACGCCGCGGGAATGGGAGAGGGGCTCCAGCCCCAAACGAGTCCTGGTCCCCGGAGCCGTCGGGAGAAGAGGGTGAAGGGGTCCGGCTGTGCCCAGCTACCGGCCCGAAGCTCCCTCTGACTCGTAGCCCTCTGTCTTCATGTCGTTCAGTCCCAGGTCTTCATTCTGCTCAAAAGTACGCTCGTAGCGCTCCACTTTCAGCTCCGGGTCCTCTTCCGGGGCGTACACATTCTGCAGGGCAAGATGGAGGTCTCCTTCACACCCCTCTTCTCAGTCTCAGGCACCAGCACAGGCTTTGACCCTTCGGCAGTGCCTCAGCAAGGGCGAGGGCCGGGGGGGACAATTCTTGGCCAGAGCCCAAGGGCAAGACTTGCCCATCACCCCCCAGAGGGTAGATGAGACCACCGCATTCCCAGCCCCAGGATTACACAGGGAGCAGACAGCGCTCCCGTGTTCCTTCCCACTACGCCACACTTTCCCCGGACAGGGCCTGCAGCAACCCACTCACTACCACGGCCCGAAGGGAACCTTGCCCACCAAAACACATCAGGGAAATGAAGAAGAAAATCCACCCAAACCACTCAGGAGACTTTGGGGAGTTCATCTTTCAAGTCCACAACGCTGTACCTGAAGATAGCTGTTGCCTGCAGGGTCATCCATGATGAAGTGAGCCGTGGTCTTTCCCTCTACGATCTGCGGAAAGAGAGTACATCCAGGCAGTAAGGCTCTTTCTGATCATTCAGCACGTTTGGCACCAAGACGTTCGCAGCACGCTGCAGGCAGTTCTAACACTTTCCTCAGTTAAAGACACCAATAGCTTGATAAAACAGGTGAGGCAAGTTTGGAACAGCTAGCAAAGGTAAGGCAACGCTTGCCGAGGAGTTCAGTTAAACATACTTCACAGCTGCAGTGACTGACAGTGGCGAAAACCGCATTGCGGAGCCCCGAAAATGAAGAGTGCACACACCTCTTGCAGTTTCCCAATAAACTCTTGCAGCTTTTCCGTTTTGCTGGGCGTAGAGCTGTCCCCCAGAGTGAAGGGGTTTCTCTCAACCTGGAAGAGCAGACACACTCACTCAGCCAGCCCTGAGACACCCAGCCCTCAGCCAGGCCAACCATCAATGCAGACGGTCTGAGCTCCAGCAGCCGGCAGCGCGGGACCACTCACCAGGTCTCTGATGTCTTTCAGCAGCCCTTCCAGGGTGGTGAATTTGCCCCCCAGTGCTCCCATCCCCAGCTCGAACTCCAGCTCTGGGATCTCCACGCTGCACGTCTCCGACTGCAAGGGTGAGCACGCCGTGAGTCCCTCCGGAGGGAGGGCTGGGCCCCGTGCAGCCGCCGCAGGATGCAGGGCAGGTATCCAAAGGTACTGTACCTTTAGGATATCCCTCGTCATGTCAGAAGGGTCTGTAATCCGAAGCGTAATCCTAGTGCCCTGTGCTTCGATTGCTCCTCCAGACTTCACCTAGGAACACCCAGCAGTCAGCTTCCCGGACTTTTATACTTTGATCACACCGTGATGCTTTAAGAGGGCCAGCTCTGAGGCGACGCCTAACCTGGGGACGGTGCCTTAACCCAGGGGACTTGAGCAGGTGTGGAGGTGGCTTACTCGCACCAAATGGAGCTCTTCAGGACCGAATTCTCTCCCTTCACTTGTTTAGGAAGGCAAGCCAGACCCAGCCTGACCTCGCCGCACACGCCAGCCTCCGCACAGCTCCTGTTTGGGCTGGTGCTCGTGCAGAAGCAAGGCCGCCCTGCTACGCCCAGCACAACGCACCTCAGGACACTGCCCATAGATCCAGCCTCCCCCAACAACTGTATTGCGAGGCAGAGGCCAGGGACTCTGAGAAACACCCACCCACGAAAGCAGAACAGAACACCACTCCCTCTCCCACTGCCCCCCAAAAAGGGTCAGCAGTTTTCCAACTCACCTCATTTGTCCTGTGCCCACAGGAGTCACAGTTTGTGGCCATGATAATCACTTCCTTGAAGTGTGGGATTTCTGGAGCAGACAGTCAAGGAAAACTCAAGGAAAGGAGTGTCAAAGAAGCAGCCTGCGCCCTGTCCACAGCCTCAGTCCTTCCCAAGGCATTACAAGAGCTCACCGGCAAGCTGTGAGCGGCACCGAGACAGCTCTGCACCCTGACAGGCTCTACTACAAATAATTTATTTGTGCCTTATGGGTGCAGCAGGAAGAGACCAGGGTCAGCACACAGAGTGACTCTCACCCCCACACCAGCCTCCACGCAAACCCCTGCAGAGGGCACCAATCTGCGCCCACGCCCCCACTCAAAGGATACGCACCAGCTTCATATTTGTGTTAGCTGGAGCGTTGCACTCGGGGCAGTTGGTGTTGAACTGCAGTACCTGGGTGACAGGAATGGAAAGGAGAATCAGAAAGTCCCGGCCAGCCCTGAAAGCCTGTCCTGCGTGCCAGTCACCCACGCGTGGCTCCCACTGCACCGCAAAGTCACCCACCTCATTCCTCAGGTCGTCCGCAGAATCAGCTGGCTTCTCATCCGGCTCCTCTCCCTGCAAGAGGGGACACCAGAAGCAGCATGAACTTCTGTTCTTTAATTCAGGGTCTCCCAGAGAGCGAGGGGACTGATCAGCCCTGCTCCCCCAGGCTGAGAACATGCACAGGCCCGCTGGCTGATGACAGAGCAGCAGCAGCTCCCCATTACCTCCAGTCCCAGCATGGCAGCCTGCTGGGGAGTCCTCCTGTAGTGAGTGACCACAAGAGCATCGTCCTTCTGCGGTGCGTGAGGGTTCTCCACAAAGCTGTTCCCTGAAGGATCGTCTATGATCTATGGGAGAACCAAGCCTTAGGAATCCATCCCGTGCTTCCCCCGTGCAGAAAGGGGCTGCACTCCTGCGCGTACTCACAAAGGTGAAGGAGGAATGTACTTCTTTCAGCTGCTTTAATTTACCAATGAACTCATCTATTTTACTTGCCACCTCTTCGTCCGTTGCCTGCAAAAGAGGCCACAGTTGAGACTGATGCCAGGGGCAGCCCATAGCTTAACACAATGCTGACAACAGCACAAACCAGAGAGCCCGTAACACACTTCTCATACGCAGAGCGCAACGCGAATAGGCAGAGGGTGAACAAAATACGCATTTGCCAAGCGGGCATCCCTGAGGAGCATCCCCTTGCACTGCATCTTACCCTGCGGACAGGCTGGTCCTGCTCCAGGCCCGCAACAGCTCTGTCAATTATCCCTTCAATGGTGGTAAGAACTTGGGAAGGAAAGAAAACAGAAGAGACGGCACCATTAAGTAGACCAGTGGTGCTACCCGTCCTGCCAGCTTGTATCGATCCCCGGCAGCCCCCACACATTGGCCCCGTCAAGCTTATTTGACCCAACAGGCAGGAGAGCAGTTCCTTATCCAGTGTCTACCACGCACCCACGGGCACGCCAAGGGGCGCAGGCTGTGCACCCACCTCCCTTCTGGGTGAAAGCAGGGATCTCAAAGTCCAGCTCTGGAATTCGAGCCGTGGCACAGTCAGTCTTCACCACTTCCCTGTTCATGTCCTGCACACGACAGTCGAGGGGCAGCATTAGGATCCCTGACAGGACCACGAGCCCCCAGACGCTAAGCGACCACACTGGGGAACATGACACCCACCAAAGCGGCAGCATTAGCTCCAGCAGCCCCTCTATTTGCTATCTATACGCAGGGGTGCACTGGGAACACATACGTTTTGGGCTTTAAAGGGTTACTATCAAACAAATAACACCGTTTCTCAAATGGCACAGAAGATGAACGCTTTATTGCTCAAGCAAGACCAGCTCGTGAGGGACAAAGGTGTGCACAAGGCATCTGCAAGGCAGCTGCCCGCTGCCCTGGCACACAGGCAGTACCAGTGTCACTGCTGAGGACACAGAGGGGAGCCCCCGCTCACCTGACGGGAGGTGACAGCGAGGGTGTAGCGCACACCCTGCTCCTGGATCCTACCCGCAGACTGGATCTCTGTGTTGGACCAGGAGCAGCTGTCGCAAGCAAAGGAGCTGACGATGATCTCTTTGAAGAAGGGGATCCTGGTGAGCAGGAGCCGTGTCACCCCCTGCAGCAGCGAGGGGCCTTGTGGGAACCCGAGTCCTCGGGGCACTGCCTCTCCCAGGCCCCGTATTCCTGCCAACAGCCCCCCGGGGACGGTCGTTGTCCCCAAGCCCCCCTGAACCACCCACCCTCCTCCCGCCTCCCAGCAGGCCGTGCCTACCCGCTCCTGCCCCCACCGGCA